CGCGTCACGTGAGCACACACACGCATCCATCCATCCATCCATGTGCACATCCGTCACCCAACCAAGGAAGAGAAAACATTGCTGCGTGTGGAGTCCATTGTGCACACGCACCTCCCTCTTGTGTGCATGTCACGGCCATCGGCAATCTCAAAACGACAAAGACGTTCATGTGCTGTCACTCTGAGATCACCAAAGACAATCACACACACAGCAGAGGGGAAGACACAAGAAGGAGAGCAAACGCGACATACCTGTGTATGTGTGGGTGTGTGTGTGGTTGCTGGCCTGTTCGCCTGTCTGTCTGTGCGGCGGCCGAGTGTGACGTGTACATCAACGAGAGATAAGGCCACTCTCGAGAGCAGACGTCACACCCCCTAACCTCACAGACAGCAAGCGGAACAGCACAGGCAACGTGACGACGCACACAGCAAGTGAGTGACACGACAGACCGAACAAACACGCAGTTCTCCACATGCAGCCAGCCATGCATTCACGGGACAGAGAAAGCGACTCAGGTCAGTCAGCAGTAGGCAGTCGACGCATCGGCCGATCTGACTTCCATGTGTACGAACAGCAGCGTCAGTCAGACTCGCTGCGTGGCGACGGCAGCCGACGGCGAGTGGGGTGAGTGTTGACGCGCTTGCGAAGCCGGAGGGTCTTGGGAAATGCGCATCAGTCACTCGCCCCGCCACCGTCCGCATGCACACCTGCGTTCACCAGCCGCGCAGAAACGGTAAGATCACATGAGATGTGCATCTCCTCTGTGCGCGCACCTCATCGACGAGGGGTGTGGCTTCCGAGAAGAGAGTCCCGGCCTTCCGAGTCCGTCAAACCGCCCGCATTTCTGAGCTTGCAAAGATTTCAGAGACAACTCGTGTGGGTTGGCCCCCCGGCGACTCTCTCTGTCCTCATCAGGTCCTCATTCCCTTGGGCAGAAGCACGAGACGACTGCGGTGATCAGAAACCACCCGGTCACAGACCATTCCTGTCAAGGAGTGGGCTGCCGATGAAAGTACGCGAGTGCGACTAATCGGATGGAGAGTGCGGGAGCTGGTGAAGTGGTCCGTTCGCCAGCGACTTCCTCACTATAAACGAAGCCCAGGACCTGCACCGCCACCCGACACGTGGTGGCCTCCCCGCTGCCAGCCCTTCCTCCCTCTCTCGGTCAGCTACACCGCACCAACACTGTAAGTATGCACAGCCGCTGGCGACACATGCCCGATGCACGAGGAGACCAAACGTGCCGGGAGAGACATGTGCTTTGTTGTGTGTGTGCCATGTGTGTGTGTCGAATGGTCATGCAGACTGCCCGTAAGTCGACAACCGCCCGCGGCATTAAGCAGCTCAGCTCAGCTGGGGTCCGTCCGTACGCCCGCGACCATTGAGATGGGCAAAGGAGAGAGAGAGGAAGGGGATGTCTGTGTGTCGCTGAGCCGCTCCCTGGTGAGTCTCGCGACCGACCCAGCTATCCAATCAGCCAACAGCCGACCAACACAACACAAGAACCAGGACCACTCTACCTGGTGCCACTGGGCACCACCCCGTGACCTCGCCAATGCGATCCATTAGTGCACTGAATGTGTGCCGTTCGTGTGACGTGCCCTTCTTGGTCATCATGCGCCCGTGTGTGTGTGTCGATGTGTGTGTGCGTGTCAGGTCGCCACTGAGGTGTCTGTCAGGCCGCTGCACAGAGTAGAGAGCCAGGGCCACCCACATTGCCATGCGTGTGCACGCCCATACTTGCTGTCGTCATGAGTCACATGACCAGCGATGTGATGGATACATGGATGGATGTGTGTTTGTGTGCGTGTTTGTGCGTATGAGGGGGCGGGGAGTTGCAGTCGACATGGCTTCAATCAAAACTTGCCCGCCTTGCATGATTCAGCCACCGTTCAAGCCCCATAGAATCGCCCACATGCGGTGCGTCCTTTCACCATTCGTCCATGTGCTCAGTAATGCGTGTGTGTGTAGATTAGATGTGTGTGCAGTGAATAGCCATCTTCCTATCATCTGCCGACACGCACGCTTGATCAATCTGTCTGTCTGCACAAGAGGGATCTGACATCCATCCATCCATCAGCATCCACACACACTCACACAGACGAACAAACGAATTAGCCCATTAGCACTTCACGTGACCACTACAGCCACAGGCTTAACCATCGAATGAATTACACTCCCTGTACACCACACACAGACAGTCAGATAGTCAGCTGACTGACAAATAAATAAGACGGACGCTTCCGCAGGTCTTATTATCATCTGCGGGACACCGGGGGGGCTCACATGCAACGCATGACAGACACCATGATCGCATCCACAATCGACCGCACCGCATGTGGCTGCTATGCGGGGAAGGTGGGAGAGGGAGAGGGAGGGAGGGAGGGAGGGAGGGAGCAGCCAAGTCACGTCACGTCAGTAGAATTGGGAGTACATCTGAGGCAGGCCACACACGGAGGAGAACGAATGGTATGCCGCTGACCGTGTGTGTGCCCGACTGACTCGTCCAAGTACTTACCTGGTACATGAGGTCCTTCTTGACGTAACTGCACACACAGACATCAAGACAACGAATGTGTGTCTGCGTGACGTGATGATGGCTGTGGCTTACTGATAAGTGATGACCGGGTTCTTGCGCCTCTTGAGCCATCTACACGCACATACACACACACACACATTCACTCATGTGAGTCGATATCTGCCTGTGCTGCCACATACTCGAATTCGGAGTAATTGCCCTGTTTCCATGATGGCGGCATGCCCGAAAAGCCCCTAATCGACTGCATCTTGTGCGCTGCACATACACACACGACATCGACATGAACGAACGGACGGACGAACGAAGGCGCATAAGCATTTATATGTGTGTGTGTCCGTGTGTGTGTGTGCTGTTTGTGCGCGTGTGTATGATCATCGGTCGGTATACCTACCGATGTGCTTCTCGATGCATGCGCCCGTATAGACGTCCTCTGGCTTCCCCCAGTACTCTGCACCTTTCCAGAACTCATCATCCTTCGGGTCAACTGACATAGTCGGTCGTCACAAGAGTGGTTGATTCGTGCGTGTGTGTGTTGCACCAGCTGTCACACATGGCCTAGCCTACTCACCGAGGAAGCAATTTTCCCATCGCGTGCTGCCGCGCTGGCCGTCTGACGGCTTCTGACACATGGCCTTCATCAGCCCCCTAGACAGGACGTAGCCAGCCCCGCCGCTCGCGTAGCCCTGCTTCTTGTAGACCATATACTGACCCAAGTAGTGAGGCTGCACAGCACAGCAGACACAGATGACAGACACACCAGACAGACAGACAGAGAGACACACAACAGGCATCCGCACCAGTGCATGACTCCTTGCCTCCCTATCAACAAATGACTACCTACCTGTTCTGGGTCGAATTTCTTGAGGGCGTTGGCGAGGTTGTAAGTGACCAGGAAGAGGTCGTCGTCGACCTTCATGAACCACTCGTACACACTCGCCATGTCCTTCTCGCACAAAAACATGTACGACTTGAGCACCTTCTTGTACAACACCTTTAGGTCAACACACACACGCACACACACACACATGCGTCTACTGTGTCTACTCAGCCATCTTTCTCTCTCTCCCTCCCTGTGTGTGTGTGTGTGTTGCATTGCGCACCTTATAGCCATCAATGTCAGCACCCAATTCCTCTGTCTGCCCACACAGAGGAATGGTTGCAGCACGTCCATCCATTCATGTGTGTATGTATCGACGCCCACCTGGGCGAGTTTGGTGACTTCATCTCTTTGTCTCTTCTCCTCTATGTCTTTTGCCGGCGGCAAAGTGCCGACAAATGTCAGCAAATTGGCCAGGTGACGCCCCCATGTCCTATGGACACACACAGAGACACATAAACAGAGAGAGGGATGGACTCGTGTACGTGTGTCTGGCTGGTGTCACGGTGAATGTGAATGTGAGTGTGGACGTGCGGCTACCTGAAGATGCGTTCCCTTTTCTCCAGGAAGGCCTTCTGGTGGGTGTGGAGGATAACCAGTGCCTTATCCAAGTCATGATCAACCCACACAGACCCGTTCTTCCTCATGTCCCTGAAGTGCACTTCCAGCCCTCGCCATGAGGTCATGTTGCCCGTGTCTGGCGTGACAGCCAGGCCATCGAGCAGTATCTCCCTCAGTGTTGACACGTCCTGCTGCTGGCTGGCGTGGGCGAGGACCTTCTTGGCCAATAATGACGAGGCATCGGACAGCTGCACACACGAGAGAATGCACGACACGACACACGCAAACAAAAAGACAGTGAGAGGAGAGAGCTGGGTGGTGGGCTGGAGGTGTCTACTGTACTGTAGGTACCTTACCTTCTTGTCACCACCGGTTCCCTTGTCGCCTCTCAGGTTGCCCCTTCCCTCCAGGTCAACCACACCTACACACACACGGACACGGGCATGTGGTGTGGACGTACGTATGTGTGTTTGCGGTGGACCCGTGAGTGATTGATGCATTTACCCAGTGTCTCGACGAGCAGCCTCTCCAACAACTCAGTGACGGCACGCAGCGATGACAGCTGCACACAGACAGACAGACAGACAGATAGAGAGGCGCGTGTGATGGTTGGTCAAGAGAGGAGTGTGTGATGCACACATGACATGCGCACCTCTGCCTCTGTCTTGACGCGTTGTGCGGTTTTGTCAAACAGCAGCTTCTTGGCGTCCTCCAGCTGCAGTGCCACCGTTCTCAACGACATGCTCATCTACACAATCACAATCACAATCTTACACATACACACAAGCATCCACCCTCCCTCCCATGCCCTGCGCAGGCTACAGAACAAACTCCAGTATGTATCTGTGTGTCTGTGGCACCTTCTCCATCTCCTCTTTGGTGTTCTTGGCTCCTGCTCCTGCTGCTGCTGCTGCTGGTGGTGGGTTGGCCAGTGCTGCTGAGGACGAGTCTGCTGGCGCGGCGCCAGACAGTATCGAGCCATACCTACACACACACAGAGAGAGAGAGAAGAAGATTCAGCTAGATAGGATGGACCATCAATCGCGTCCGCATCAGTGTGTCTGGCGAGTAGGTGGCTGACCGTGCGAGGATGTCTGTGAGGTTTTTCCTCTCCAGCTCGAGGGACTGCTGCGATGCCTGCAGCGCCTGACGCTGTAATGACAGCTCCTGAACACACACGCGCGCACAGACAGAGAGAGCATATGAGGGGTCTGATCTCTGTATGTCTGTGCACAGCAGAGATGTGTGTGTGTGTGTGTGTGTAGCTTCTTTCCTGGTGCAGGGCGCTGATGTTTGAGAGCAGCATGCCTTCCCTGTGGCTGCTGTCTATGTCGCCATCCAGGGAGTCATATAACGACACACCACCAACACCGCCATCCACAAGACCTGTGAGTCAGTGGGGGATTGTTCGACCGACACGCACCAACACACACAAACACACACACACACACACACACACGGGCGTTGACTGCTGTCCACTGCGCGACGCGATGTGTGTGTACCTCTGGAAGGCTGGTACAGGAGTATCCTGACTGCAATGCAGAGAGCAAAGGCAGAGAGAGAGAGAGAGAGAGAGTTTGGTCAAGAAGATGCTTGCTAGTTGAGTGGAGTGGGGTATTGCGATTCATTCTCTCACTCACTCCACGTCAGGATTCCAAAGACGGAGAAAGCAGTTATCAACACATTCCTGGGAAAGGAACACACACACACGTGTCAGGTCAGGTCAAACAGCACAGCGAAGCTGCAGTTTGTGCGTGTTGCCGATAGGTGTGCCCCCACGTGTGTGTGTACCTAAATGACAGCATTTGCCCCGCTTCTGAACACACAACCAAACATCATTGTCAAGACAAGATGGTGACGAACGAACGAACGGAACGATAAACACAGTACTGATCACTCACTCTCTTTGTCTTTGCCTGTGCTGTCGCTGCTGCCGCTGCCGCTGCCGCTGCTCTGTTCCTTCGGCTCTGGGCGATTGACGTGGACGAACGGTGCAAGCAGCGGGGAGGGCGCGTTTCGCATCGCCGCCCATACACACAGATCTGATCTATCCGCAGACCCGCTGTCAACAAACAGCTACAATGGGGCCAGCAATACGCGAGAGTGTTGGAGAAGCTTCTTCTCCTCTTTGCTCCCGTCGTTGCGTCTGCGAGCTTAGCTGAGCTGCGAGCTACCCTCTGTGTGCGCCATCTTTTTCACTGCAATATGGCGCACACAGAGGGTAAGGCGATGCACACACGAGTGCTCCAGTGCTTGATGGTCTTGCTGGTCTGGTTGCTGTTCATTCATTCGCTGGTGTGCTCCAGATGGGGTCCTCGTGCAGCTCGATGGCGTTATGGACGAGAGCGAGCTGCCCAGCGAGCTGATCTTCACCGAGCTGACTGAGGTACTCACACACACACACACACATCTCTGGTGCATGAGTGAGTGTGATGGACGTATGTGCCGCAGATATCTCAGCTACTGCAGCAGAAGTCCCTACAGCTCAAAGAACAGGCAGGCACCAACACACTGATGCACACAACTGCACTGCATGGCCATCTCCCCTTCCGAGTGTGTGTGTGTGTGTGCGCGCGTGTGCGCAGGAGAGGGCTTTACACGGGCGTGAATTGTCATTGTTAGAGCAGCGGCTGACCTTCGAGGCCGAGCTGAGGGACTGCGCTCAAAACTTGCTTAACCAACATGCGGAGCGCATTCACAGGTACGTCACACATCAATCCATCATTTCAACACACACAGGGCTTGACCATTTTTGTGATGGCAGTCACTTCCTGTCGGCTCAGCGTCGGCTGCAGCAGCTGGTGCAGCGAGCGGAGGACACTTGCAGATCCCTGCACACCAAAATGGCCAAAGCCAGAGATACCAACGCACGGATGGTATCTATCGACCTATGGACGGATGGATTGAGGCACTCACGGACAGAATGATGGACACCACACATGTGTGTTGGTGTGGATGGACTGGATGTGTGCATCACCTCAGCGGCAGCAGGAGGAGACCATCAACAGCCTCACCGACACTCTCAGACGCGAACGAAGCAGATGTATGTTGTGAACGCGCACACGCATAACCAACACACACATACGGGTCGGCATGTATGTCATCTTGTGTGTGCGCAGATCGGTCTCTGCAGCAGAGGTACCAGCAGCTTCAGCTTCAGCAACAACAGCCACAGCACACCGCAGCCCCAGCAACAACAGCCACCAAGCCACCACCCCCTCT